AGTGCAAATTTCGGTAACAGACTTTAGAGATGTAGAATTTGGGGTAGGTAAACCTAATACAAGTTCTAAGGTTTTAATTACATACAAAATCGGGAGATAGAGAGATCTAGACTCTGAACCAGTCCATACAAGAGAGCTCTTTCTTTAGAAACTTTACAAACTAAACATGATAAACCAGGCAACCATGGACCATTTAACTTAATATCTTGAAGCAAATTTTGGATCTTCATGGACATATTGCACCAAACAAAACATTCATGACTCTGATGTATCTCCATCATTTTCTAACATGGTCAAAACTCCAAATGGTAAGAAACATAAGAAAATTAAATCTGATTCAAGATGCAGAACAAATTTCTAATTTGTCTCAAAATTACGTTATCAAAAAAACAATCATTCCTTGAAAATCATGTTCAAGTAACTCCAAAACATGGCATAGCAGAAAGACATACGCATACGGCATAGATAGAACTAGATGTCTTCTTGTATCCTTTCATCTTCCTAGTGATTTCAGAGATGAGGCAGCTCTTATAATTGTCTATCTGACTATTCAATGCCCTCTGACCATGAATGATGATTCAGCAGTAGAAATTTTAAGCAATTACTCCAAATTAATCTTACTTTTAACTTTTTTTTTATGGATCTATTTGCGTAATTGTGTGCATATCTTAGTGATAAATTATCCCTAAATCAGCTATAGTCTTCTAATCTGTAATTCTATCAATAAATTCTCTTGAGATCTTGGAAAACATTCTAATCTTGTGTTTCTTGTTTATTGATATTATTAATGTGGACGATGCAAACACAAAAACTTCGTTCATAAGACATTTCCATGGCTACATTGCTTCCAACCTCTTGTGCCCACCAGTATAGCGCATTTAAAAGAAACCCAGTTTTGAGAAGTGCATCCAATTCATCTGGCCTCCAAATGAAGTATCTTTTGTCATTTAATAAATTTATTTCTTAGGTTCCTTTTATTCAATTTCTTGTACCATTTGATTTCTATTTGTGAACTCAAAAACTACGAGGAAGCCTCTCAGCAACCATGTTCAAAAAGAGCCACGAAAGTAGTTTGCATCAAAAAGGAATCGAACATTTGGTTCATCTTGCCAAAGGATAAGAAACATATATAAGCACATAGATCTACAACATGAAATTGAGACGGGTGCTTGGGAAAATATAAAGCTAGAGTTGTAGTGCATCGAGATCTACATAAGAACATGGGATTGGCTAAGAGTAGAAATTTGTTCCAATGACTACAATGACCATAGTTGGTCTAATGATTGCAACAGCCACATTCTATCCAGGGGCACTATTTTCAAAAGCACATGAAGAACATATCTTCATGACAATTTAGATGCAAACACCAGAATTGATGGTTCTAGGGAATATTCACCCACATGTCAGCAGTGTAAGGCATTGCATGTTCTTAATCAGGCACCAAGAACATAGGCACAATGCTCTAGGAATATTATCATCAAGATTGGCACTAGATAAGTTCAACATGGACCTACGCATGCTTATTCTCATGGTGTTTGCTAGGTTTGAAATGTTGATGGTGTATGTATTGAGCTCTTTAATCTCATGAGACGACACAGGACAACTCATAGAAACAATAGCAATAGTACAAGCTTCAGATGAAGAATCCATTCACTTCAGTTTTTTCTTGGGGCCAAGCCTTACTTCTAAGGAGATACACCTATTGAAATGAATGTGAAACTATACCTGTGTTTCAAAAAAAAAAAGTGAAACTATACCCCCAATTACAGTTGTTGGGAGCAGAAGCAGGAGCAAAAGCAGGATCGGAAGCAGTACACTAGCTACGGAGTGCTATGAGAGTGCCCTTAGAATAAATAGTTTTAAAAATAAAATAAACAAAAGGTTTAATTAAGCGATTTTGATGCTCAAAGTTTCTTTATAATCTAGTATAAAAATGTTACCCCATCTTTAAAACTGGAATTTACCAACTGATGCATTTTATAGGTCATAGTGGAACTTGCAAAAGAGCGAGGGGATCTTTCTTAAAAATATGAGTAGAAAAAGTTTTCAAGAAGATTGGAAATGTATTCCCAAGAGAATTGGAACACATTCCAGCTCTCGAACTGCGCAACTGCATCCGCGGAGCAGGAGAGGCATCTTAGATGGAAGATTCACAGACTATTCCCCCAATTGTTAGTCATTATATGTGTGATCCGAGATAATCATGAATGATGGATATTCATAGCGTCATTCGTTATCTACAAGATATACCACGATATTGACCATTGTTGTCGTCAGTATCTCACCTTGGGCTGAACACATATGTAGATGCTGATAGAGCAGCAAACTCAAACATTAGTCCCACATAGGGATATGGTATTTTTTTGGCTCCATTGGATTCATGGATGTATAAGAAACAAGATATTTCTGTCAAAGTCATCAGTTAAAGCTGGACACAGATCCAAGACATCTGCCACCAATGAGATCAAATAATTACAGAACTCCATCATTTGGATGCTCAAGAAGCGTATCCTATCAATGTACAAAGACAAATGTCAGTGTCATCTACATTACAAAGAATCTGGTATTTCCTAATGGGACAACACACAAAAGGAGAACTAGCATTTTATGTATTGTCATTTCACAACCAGTGCCATATCTCTTCTGCAAATAAGTTTGGAAGTTCAGTTGGTATTTAATAGAATCATGAAGGGAGTGACCAAAGTTAAGCATAATTAATAATATAATACCTGATGCACAAACTGCTACTGGTTTATCTTTTAGGAAAAATATCTGTGTTAGATCAAGGGAGAGTCTTGACATAGGTAAATTCTTAATGTATGTTCCTGGTCTTGACATAGGTAAATTCTTAATGTATGTTCCTGGTCTTGACATAGGTAAATTCTTAATGTATGTTCCTGGTCTTGACATAGGTAAATTCTTAATGTATGTTAACGTATTTTGGTCATTCATGGCATTGGGTACAATGAATTCGATAGTAGAGATAATCTGAACATATACATGGGGATATTCATCAAAGATCTCAAATTCTCAATTAAGAAATGTTCTTCAAAGATTTAGTCACTTAGATAAATTGAATTATCCGAAATAAATAAAACAAGAACAACCTAATCCATGTTATCACAACAATGGCTAATCTGGAAGCAAATCACATCACAAAAAAAATAATGTTATCTCAATGCATTATTTCAATAGCATCAATGAAAAACACACTTAAATTCCTCAAACCAGTCTTGGGATCTTGGTTCAGTTAAACCAAGTTCTAGGAGCTTGGTTGAGTTGAGCCCATAAAGTTCCCCTAAAAAATGAAAAAGAAAATGATGCAGTGCTCCATGTGAGAAATTTACGGTCCACGTGGACACCATGTATCTATATTAGCTCTGTGGACCCCCCTCTCACTTTAAAAAACAGGACCAATACCCCCTTTATTGCATTTTTCAAAGTCAAATTTCTGAGATGGCCGTTTTCTTCTAGAGAATACCAAAGTCATCCAAATTTTAAAAAGAAAAAAATACAAAGTCTATTTCCTGTTTCCCAATGGAAAAATTGCAGAAATTCTGTCCCCCGGAACTTAAGTTGCCGGGAAATAAATCTACAATCTGGGCATTTAAAAAGTAATCTTTTGATGCAACTAAATACAATATTACAAAAAATTGTCAGCTACAGAACCAGTTTGAAAGTTACATATGAGGCCAGTCCATACTACAAAGTCTTGCCCTTCATTAACAGAATCCTATGGTCGTCACTTGATGCACATTCATAAATCATGTAAATTAGTGAATAACTGAAACAATTGCAACCAACTTGTTGCTTCATCAACTGATAAGACATATTGGCTAGGATGATTGTGGTTGACTTCTTTTGTCTTTTTTCAGTTGGAAGTTGCAAACAACATTTGTTATTTAATTATGAGTTTCTAAGATATACATACATCAAAAACATCATCATGTTAAGTACACGCATTTGGTTCTGTTGAATTCTATTATTGATTGCATAATGTCTATGAACGGGTAGTGATTTGAATTGATAAGGCGCATGAATGTGTGTGCAAACGAGTGGACTTTATTCATTGTGACTGCTATAAAAAGTAGTGATCCAAAAGTCCATGCTTCAAATAGGAACACAGAAGACAAGTTAGAATTCTGATGAGCAGCAGCACTTGTACCAACTCTCACAGTTGGTTATACCTCTAGGATTGATATTGAAAGGAATTGGGCTTATGTCAAAACAAACGCAAAGATTGGAGAAAATCAATTGAGAAAGATACAAATTCACATGAAAGAGGGAGATAAGAGAAAGACAGGTCAATTAGAGTTCTCTTTATCAGTCAAAGATTTCAAACAGACATGTATATTTGAAACTTAGAACCACAAATACAGCGAAACATGCCTGCAAACATTAACCAGAATACCGTCTTAGAAGTGTCTTGCCACTAGGTATAAAAAATCGCCAGACTTTTCCCACCTTTTTTTGTAGATACACATGACTAATTGCTATTTATTGTAGAGTTCGGCTTAATCTAGAATTAAAACCAACATGACTTCAAAATGTTTCAAGGATAATTGCTTACGATTTGGCTATGAACCGAATGGCAAGGCATCCGGCTTGTATGAAAGAGGCCTGAAGTTTGTCCTAAAAACCAAACCGAGCTAACACATCCTAAAAACCAAACCGAGCTAACACAGGAATGACTCAAGGATAATAGGTGTAAAAATTATCTCCTATATTGTTAACATTTGTAACTTTTCAGTTGTGAGACAGCAATCCGGAGCATTTCTATGGATGGGTCATACTACCATCCCTGATAAGGCAAAACACTTTCCAGGGAAAAAAAAAAGGCATTTGGGATAGTTCAATTCTGCCAGGTTTGACATGGATTATCTCTCTGGGAAGAAGCAACCCATAAGGATTGACAATCTTATTCTAGCAACTAAATCTATTAAAGAGTCAAAACATTTGAATGAAAATATCCAACAATGAAAGAAGTGAAGCAGGCACACCTTATCCTCTTATTAAACTCGAACATTTGGTTGAGAAAATCTTCCCTGAATCAACACAATATGTAAAAGCAGTGAGGCAAGCATCAACATCTACTTCTTACACTTGTCAACACTGAACCAGAAATTAGAACATCATAAATATCATGCTTAACAATGTAGAGGTTAAGTTTAGCATTCAAATCCAGTTTATGGTTTGCCCTGTTTTACTAAAAAATTGACAATTGGAGCCAAAACTACTTGTTCAAAGGAAAACGGATCAGGAAAAATACAAAATAATGCTAAAACAAACATACCGACGCTAAAACAAACATACCGTGCAAGGTCCTCTCCCTTCTTCTCAAGGTTATTCATGTAGCGAAGCATGCAATAAGAAAAGAAATAGTCAAAATTATAGTTATCTTGCAGGTAATAACTCCATCCTATATAAATCAAAATGAAAATTGAATCCAAGCAGAGATTCATTGTGCTTAAGAAGCATTCCATGAGAGAAGTTGAGAAGTTTCATTTTGGATTAAAAATAATAATAATAATAAAGATTTTATCACCTTTAGAGCTTCAAATTCCGCACGAATGCTTGACATCGCATCCTGCTGAGAAGAAAGTCTTGCCTGAAACCAATTCCAGGGAAAAACTCAATCGCAGAAGTAAACAAAGGAGATTAATCGAACAAAACATATTATGAGAAGATAAATGCACTTCTCTTTCTTGTTAGAAATTCATTTCCTAAATCAAGGATCTGAACATGAAGAACAAGAGAGAATGAGACCTGACGAGCTTGCAATAAGGCTTCAGCACAAGCCAATTCAACCTCCAAACCTCTGACATGGTGCTCCGCTGCCTCCTTTCTGCGCTTTACATCCTCCAATTGAAGGTTAGCTGACTCTAATTCTGGTTGTAACTCAGATATACGCTTCTTAAGCCCTGCAACTCTGCGCTCTACATGTTCTCACAAAAACAGAGAGAACAGGAATGCATCAGGATTATGAAAAATGAGGAGAGGGAGAAGGACGTATATGGAAAATGACGGGGGAGAGAGAGGATTCTCCAAAATGATGGAAGATAAAGAGTAAGGATCTGAACAAAGAAGAGAGCGCGAGAGATGATTCTGAAAAATAAGAGAGAGAGAGAGAAAGAGAGAGGATACTGGAAAATGAGGGAAGAGAGGGAGAGAGAGAGAGAGAGAGATAGAGAG